GCATTGGGACTATTGTAATTATGCCTTTGTCCAGTACAAGGCAGTGTGACAGGTTTCAAATGGAAATATCGCACGAAAAACGCGACGTACGCAGAGTTTGAATCAGGTGTGGAGCCACGCCCTCTCTATCCCCGAGATACGGGGTGCACATACTGTATCACAAAACTGAACTTACCTGGTTTACGATGTAATATGTACATAAATAAAGCAGCAAAACAGAAGAAAGTTATCAGAGCCGTTGCCCAACTGATAATGAACATGACCACGATGCAAAGAAGTGCACCACCGAGGGATACCCACATGTTGTAGTACTTAAAGCCGGGACGAAAACCTTAAATTGTCAAATCAATGCTCTATCGAAAACGGATATATGTGATCCTTCACGGTTGACATCGTCGTCAGTCGGGGCGGGGTCAGGAGGCGTGTAATGACCACGCCCGCGTAGCGTTCTCAACCAATAGTAGCCGGTTTAGGCGCAAAACACCCAGCGGCAGAAAACATTGCGGGTGGGCTCGTTTTGAGCCTCCTGAGACCACTCCACCGGATGGCAACGATATCAACTGCATTCAGAACGCAATGAGGAAAGTGAAGCTAAGACGTACCTGGAGAGTCGGCAAATGATGCATCAAAACACGCATAATTTATAAGTGCATACGAAGCCAAGAAAAAGTTGGAAATAATCGGAGCAATTGCATTGAGGTCGCCTGGAATGTAACTAAAGGACTCTAATGAAAGAACCGAAAACAGAAGAATCGGGAGAAAACACAGGTCCGCCTAGAGAGGAGGACTGTTGGAGGGACTGGCGCAAAACAGAGTTTACTGGTGAAAACCAGATTTTTCTTCGTAAGCATGAAGAGAAGAGTGGATGAACGAATATGCCGAAAGCTTGCCAATAAAGTTGTTAAACAAGTCAAGAGCTTCAAGCACACTGTTCAAGAACATATTGGATGAAGCTCAGAGATAGCAGCATCTTGTCATACTATTCGAAGTATGTTAATCCCATCTGAATCACGGTAGATCATGTTGTCAGTTCTGCGCAAAGAGTGATTCAAATGATCAACTCAGGCAATCGGGCCTCTGCAGTTGTACTCGCCTTTCAAAGGGGGGGGGGAAGCCGTGTTTGGTGCAGCGCCAGCCTGTTCCCTTCAAAGTGTGGAAGCTGGCAGGACTAGTGGATAACAG